TGACGCACACACGCATGCATACATTTATTGTTAAACTTTTGTTCTTGAGGTCTGTTGTCAAATTGAGATTAAATATTGTTTGTCTTTTTAATATTTTTTATAGTGTAGTCTTGGCGAAATTTGTGATTATAGAAGTATAAAATACAATCATAATAGTGTACAAACTTACAATTCCAATTAATTATAGTCGAATTTCGACTACTGCGGGACCTCTAGTAATAATAATCAGGCTAATACCGCTCTTCCAATTAATATCTGCGTAGATATAGTAATTTAAAAAAATAAATGTATTTTTTCAATTACATTGGAATGTTTACACCATTGTTTTTTTTAAAGAATAAATGGTCTCACTCTTTTAATGAACATCATTTAATTTGAAGGCAATTTTCAGAATGTATTTTATTAAAATATTTCAAACCTTTCGGCCACAATTTATCGATTATCACTTGAATTTCTATACTTATACTACTAGCTTGAAGTGAAGCCAAGCCTTTCTGATTGACATTGAATTTCTATAACTAAAAACAGTAGGCGATATGAAAATTTAAACGCTTCATAGCCGCGTTTATCGTTTTCACGGTTTTTTGTTAATATTATATTATTATTACACATCCATATATAATATTATATATTATATTATACATACATTAAATATGCTTAGTTAATTTCATGTTACGTTATAAACTCCGAGCTATATATAATTAGAGACGTCCCAACTAGTAAGGAATAACGAGTGTTGTATAGTCACAACGAAGGAGGAAGCGGACGATCCAAAATAACGTTTGACTTAATAAACTCGATTTAGAATTCGGTACACCCCTTAGTTGTTTTATCCACTAAGACATGCTGACGGCTGTGGTAACTAATGCTCCGTTAGAACTCACGCCCCGTACCAAGAGAACGGCGCATTTTGGAAATTCTAAACAACAAGTATAGTTGTTCTTTAAGTAATAATAAAAATTTGGCAACACTGAATACGTGATACGCATAAAGGAGACTCGGATTATTCCTCCCTAAGCTGGTACGCTATGGAAGCTATGGCAAATATTGGCCAACGATATCGGATAATTAAAGTTTACTCGCGAACCACGAAACGGTCATACATCAACACTCCCTGGCTATTGAACGTAACTCTCTCTCTGTACACGCCTCATTACACGGGGTCAAACTGAACGTAAAACAATATTTATCCTTTACCTTTCTTATGGCCGACCTTGCTCTGCGATACTTTCGTCAGCATGTTTTTGTATAGCGCACAATTCATAAAAGTGTACAGTGAAATTATTTATGTGTCCTATTTTTATCCTACCTAAGCTGATAGCCTATTTCAGCGTAACCTTAGCTAGTAACCTAGTAGGTGAGCTCACGGGGCTCAAACCGGAGTGATGCTAACACTGACCCTAGCAAGAGCAGTGCTTCGCAGAATCTACCACCGGAACGGAAACGCGACCCACTGAGAAGATCCGGCGAAAAACTCAGTGGGCTGTGTCTGTGGGTTAATTCGCTCGTCGAACCCTTCGTCGCAAGCGACGGGTTCGACGAGCGAATAGCCTATTTTTCGTCTTTGACATTTCAATAAAATATTTCCAAATAGTTTTATTGATAACGCTAAATCCCTTCAATAATTGCTGAAAAATATGAATAAATAAAAAAACACAATTCGTTGACAAACATTAATTATTTTGCCGCCGCCCGTTACATATACACACTTAAATGATTTTAAAGCTTGTTTATAAATTTGCCGGTTCGAAATTAATCGGAAATCACCGGTATCAGATAACGGTAGGAATGGTTGATGGTTTGGTAATTGTTTGACCTCGCGTTTACACAATCAACTATAATGCTATATTAGGGATATGATAAGCGCTTCAATATATTTTCTTTTGTCTTTTGTAGATTAAATCAGACAGCGTTGAAAAACACGCAGTACGTTTCCGACGTTACTGGTTTGCGAGCAGTAACTGCTCACTACTTAGGCACTGACAACCTGATATAAATAATTAAGAACATAATTTAATAATGAGAATTTTCATTTGCAAATTAGTTCATTTGCTTCAATACTGCTCGAATCAACAGTTTGTTTGTGGAAAATAATATGTTTGAAGCATAGCGACATTCTTATAATACATATTAATATACGGCAGTTCGATTCCATTCCCTACAATTGTTAACTTAAAAAAGATATGATTGAAGCCTGATTGGATGTTCTAATTTAATTAATGTGAATTCGAATACTTCGGTAATAAAGTATGGATAAGTCAAAAACATAATGGCAATACATTTCAGTCATCCGCGATCAAATAAAGTTTTAAATACAAATCTCGGAGGCGAATGTAGAAATTATTTGCTCCGAATTCATTCGGCAAGATTAAGTGTAAATGAAAAGCTTTTCTCTTCAGTAAACCGTTCGTAATGAGGCGGATTTGTTTGTACGAACAAAACGACAGATCTATATTTATTGAGTTTGACGATTCAGCACTCAATAAAAGCTTCTTACATTTCCAAGTTCTCTTCGAAGGTGAAATACCTTTATGTGTTAATCTGAGTCAAACGATGTGCTTACACAAGGGTCGCCCGGACACATACATTAACGCTAAAGTTAGAAATTCAAATTTAGCTTAGCAATTTTAAGTGGTATCTGTGAGATGATGATCTCGATCAATCATTTTCCTTCGATCGATATATTTATAATGGTATTTTATTCAAGAACTTTAGTGTATCTATTTGTAATTGAAATATTTGATGAACGAAAACGTTTCTATGGTAAAATTGCCCTTTTTGATACGGTTATGACGGTTCGAATTTAAAAAAAGTTTTTTATTGTATATAGTAAGTAAAAGCTTCAAGGTTAGCTTTAATAATAACTAATGTTTATTTGGTGAGACAATAGAATCTGACCTACAATAGTGGGCCTATAAAAGTGGGTTTTGGCGTAAAAGTCTTGAAGATCTGGGACTCTGTGATTTAGGTCGACGTAATGAAGCGTGCAGAATGAGACCGTCGAGCGAGCACTTTTGTTCTAAACGCCTTGGAGTATGTATAGAACAATTTGTCCCTTGCCCCTGTCCTAGCAGTGACTCTCATAACCTTTAATATAGCGGACAATCGCGACTTATTGCGTCACTTATTTAATCAGGGATTTAAGTCTGAAACCGCTCATTAAATAACTTGTTTACGTTGGGACTCTCTTCGAATACAGATACCAGACTACCCTCGTCAAAAATAAATATTGTTTTGTCGTATCAATTTCTTTTACCAAAATTGTTCATCATCGTAAATATCATGGAAGCAAGCCTCGTCCATACGAGCTTCAGAATACATTAATCTATCATGATACGGCGATATATTTTTTTCACGAAGTGTAGATAACACATGGGACTTATGTTCGCGGAACTCTCAGGGTGTTCGGTCAATTTTAGTTTCGTAAGAATTATTTTTCCGCTGTTAAGCCTGGAAGAGACAAAGTACAACTTGTATTTACGATTAAAGATGATTTGCATTTTGTTTTACTCGTAGATCGAAGAAGTTTGGTGGCCAGTTCGACTCTACGCCTTCCGAGAATTTTGAAGCAGAAAAATATAAGAGAAGTTTCTGAATTCGTATAACGTTAAAATAAGATCGGTAGAAATTTTAGCTTAAGTTAGTAAAGAAATAAATCTACAGATTCTTTCTTAGCTTAGTGACACAAATACTGCTGCTACTTTATTAGGTACCTATGCATTTCACGCGACTATGTATTTAATATATTTGATTATCAAAAAAAATACTTTCTTCTTTCACGCTTCTGCCTCGCAATTAATTGACACAAATTTCTTTGGTCTCAGCAATTTGCTATAAGTAATTAGTTTCCAAATTCCACACGTTCGATTTAGTTTTGTTATTGTTATTTAGAGAACGAGCATTCTGTGTCACGTGAATATTATTCATGTTACGCTACAAGCGATACTGAACTTTCAAATGTAATAAAATTTATTAAAGTTAATATAAGTTTTTAACAAGACTGAAAAACGTAGATTCAAAGTAACTCAAACTTAAAGAAGCAATTAAGTGAGCTTCTTAACTGACTTCACACTAGCTTTAAATCCTAGCGGAAGGATAAACTTTCTCACAGTTTTAGCTGAGACTGGTTATAGGATCTCCGATAAGTTCCTGATAGTATTTCTCGCAAGTCGATATTGTTGGAGTTCACTGTCCATAGATCTGGTTTCAAGAAGCTTAATTTCTTGGCTGAAATCAAGATGACTGCGAGTTTTTCTCTTACCCCGTTGTTAAAGCACGTAGGTAGCATTATTTACTATCTTTTGGTTTTGGCAAATTTGGCTGTGAAAATTGAATTTAAAGCACCCTACGTACTTACGAGGCTCTTCTGCTTTCAGCCAATTTATACTCATATTACCAATACGAAAGTGACTATTTTTGTTACACTTTCTCGTCTTAGCTAATCAAACAAATCGTTACGAATTTTGCATACGTGTTCTCAGAAAATACTCTTACAAAGACTACTGCTTTAAAGAAGTAACATTTTCGTCGCATACATTTTAGAATAATTTCAGTCAAGCCGTGGGTAAAAGCTTTTGAGAAATAATTAAAGGAAGTCTAAGCGTTATTACATGTAATTGGAAACATGTTTTAATTAAAAATATGCGTAAAGGTTGAAGTCATTAATGGAGCTCAGTATTATATGTAAGGTAGAGACGCGTTGCCCGAAAGATGAATCGGAAAATTCTTTTATGAAAATTCGTTTAACGTTTAAGTTCACGCTCCATTACATTCAACACATTTTCTATCGTTTTTAGTAGAAACGTACCTAATTATTTGTGCTTGTCATAAAAAGGTCTCGAATGCTAGTTTTTTAGAGTATTTTATTATTTAAAATATCAAGACCAATATAATTTTGAAGCTTGCTTTTAGAGCTTATTCCTTTTGAGTACTGGGTCCAGGGGGGTGAATGATTGAATATTATTTGAGTGTGGCAATGCTAACAGGGAGACGTTTCGCAGCGACGTACGCAAGCAACACGGAGGCGACGAGCTACAACGCAGCGGCGGGCTCGTGCTGTCGACGCAACACCTGCGTGCTGGGCCGGTGGACCTTCGACAACAGCCGCCACCGACGCCAGGAGCCTCCCGTCGAGATGAAGACGTTCTCGTGTTCTTGACAAACGGACCAGGCGCGTCTACCGGTGCGCACCAGACCTCCCTACAGCTTGTATCCTTACAGCTACATTGTGAAGAGCCGCGCCCCTCGCGCCTACAGCGCGGACGTTGCCGAGGCGCTCTTTAATTAAATAACTCATGCAGAACGGTAAGTGTGCTCCAACAATTATCTAAACCGAATGAATTTAACATAAAAAATTTCAATCGGTGTTAACATTCCTAATGCTTATAATAAAACGATCGAGAGACAAAGTTGTTAAAGACGAAAGTGAAAATTAAAATTTAACATTATAGTGACAATAAAATTAAAACCAAAACTGACCAACGATCTTCTTAAAATAGTGCGTACCTAAAAAAGTTACTGAGTGTTTTTTAGAAACGTGCGACGCTAACTATTATAGCAAAACAATTGTATGCGGGTGACTAAACATCACAGGTGTGGCGTTTAAATTTAAATCATTGCAGGGCTGCGTGAAACCAAAACGATTTCCAATCAAAACAAAAATTATCTTCCACTAATCTGGAGGTGAAATGAAATGTGTATTTTACAAACACTAGAAAAACGTTTGTGTTCATTGTTAATATCATATCACGCATATAACACAATTATGTTGTACAATGGTGTCAAGTGTTTGTCGTCAGCATTAGGTACACGCTCGAAATGAGCTATTAGTTATGCTTCCTATTAGGTCTGACGAGCTGGAAGTGAGTTACAGAGCTTGCATAGACTATTTTGAACTACATTAACGATCATAGTAGAAGACATAGTAACTTGCTTCGACAACGTGTCAGCGGTGCGTGAAAGCTATTCTGTAATTACAAAGTACAAGTAATTGGACACTTAAAAGTAGTAATAGTGATCTAGGAAGTTCGAGACTCGCGTTATCGTATTGGATTGTATATTGCTGAACGGTAGCGTATATTGTATGTCTATTATCTAAAAATGTAGGACTTAAGCGATGGTAATACTATATCATTTATGGTATTAGTTTAATTAAATATGAATTAAGGTTTTCGAAGCCAAATAGCAAGTGGCTTCTATTAGGCAGTTTATTATTGCAATACAATATTTCACTAATGGAACATGTATGTATATTAAAAACGTTATTGGTGAAGTCAGTGCTAATTAAATATAACCTAATAATTTTACGTTACGAAACGAAAACTACGTTCAAGACCGTGTTTGAACTTTTGTCAGGCAAAGTTTTGCAAAGTAAGCCGGGTGCTGCCTGCCTGATAGCAAACTTACCCAATTCGAGTACTAGATTGTAGAGACTAGTAACGTTGGACTCTAGGGTGTTTCGTTTGCTACAAAGATTTGAATTTCAGTATTCAAAACGAAGCCTCAGCGGAAGTGCGTGGAGTCTTAAATGAAATTATTCACGTATGAAGATTAAAAAAACAATTATATATAGTAGTTATATGATTCGAATTCGTTATCAATTCGAGAAATTATATTGTTTGTGGATAAATACGCGTTACCAACAAAGTAAAATTACTTAGCTACGGTTAAGTTCGCGAAGAAACAGGAGAAGCTAAACTATTCATGATGCCCTTGAAGATTGGAAGTAAAATTGAGTGTTCGTTAAAAAATGATGAGACGTATTCAAACTCTAGTTGGGTTGTTAAGTGAAAGACTTTATGAATTTCTGGGAACTAATTATATTGAGAGTCAATATAATTATGCAATTTAAAGATAAAATTCCGGAGCACTATTCATCGGAGCTTTATAGATAAGGCCGTTATAAGAAGTTTAATAATAATTCATAATAAAAAGATAAAAGTATTTTTATTTTAAATGTTGGTAATTTAAATATTAATAATAGTTTATGAATAATGAATATTATGAAGATTTTTTTATAGTAAAGGGCAAAAAGGAAAACGCAAATCATGACTAAAACAGCAATTAAAAATCCGATAAATTAATGAAAGACCTTTTATTGACGTTTCATAGGCTTAATGACGTTTTAACAATATTATTGTGACTATTGGGGTTTTAGCTTTGAAATTGACTTAGAAGTCGAGGTGTGAAACATTATAACTAATGTGTAATAAGTCTTAGACTTTATGTTGTTTAGTCTATATTTAGTCATTTGTGTAGTGTACTAAGGTTTTAAATTTGTGTTAGAATGTAGATGTTTGAAAAACGTAGGGTCGTAGAATGGTAAAAACTCTTTTGAACTATATAGTTTTATTTTCTGAATAAATGGCACTATTAGTGCTCTGTTAATGCTTTTCTCGACTGTAACTTGTATTAGTCTCTGGTTAGGCGCTATTTTAGATGATATCATCTCCCGCCTTACGTGGAGGGAAGTTGGGATCTAAAGTCCTACGCCTCTTATTATGTTCTCATTAAGATTGTTACATAATTCAAGCTTACTTGCTTTGATGAAGTAGTACACTTCAGTATTAGGAAAGAATGTTAAAAGAGTTTGATTATTTAAAAAAAAAGACTTATGGAAACGCGTTATACTTTTCACGAAAGGTTCGATCAGTACGATCAACTTTACAATGACAATTGGTTGCGTGATAGTAAATCATCATCAATCTTGCTATCATTTCGAATAGACTTGATAGAAGCACACTTTGTAAGCGTGCATAAAAAGTCTACGTGAGGTTTCTAGTCAAAACCAAATAAATCCAAACCACTGTTCCGACTAATAAAAATACCATAACGACTTTGAATTTAATAATGAGGGTTTAAAATAATCTTCTTCTACGCTGTATTAATTTATAATCTGGCTTGCACAGTAAAATACATTTCATTAAATTTATATGGACAATTTACATAATGACGACCAACTTTTCCTCAATATTATTCCATAATTTGAATCATGACGAGACGAATATTTTTCAATAATGCAGGCTGAATAAAAATAAAAACTCAATTTGTAGCGATCAAGAACACGAGCATCATTAACGTAATTTTCTATAACGCGTCTTTAAAAATATAAAAATAATATTTAGGAGCAAAATTTAATACTTTAAATCAGCTGACGCGCGTGTTCAACAGAATATATGGTTGTGGTCAACTAGCTTGTTACCATTTCGGCTTCTGTAGTTACTAAGAACCTAATTGTAGTATTGTAGTCTTACCTACGTGTCGCTAGTCCCACGAATGGTAGTTTTGGAAACGGCTCATTCCGTTCGTTATTAACAAACAATAACTAACAGGAATTGTATGCCCTCAGTATAATAGATAGACATTGTCTCCCACTATACCCCATCTTGTTTATGGATCATGTGGTAAAATAAAATTAATAAAATTATAATTTGTTATCTTTATATTATAAATTCATATGGGAAAAGAATAACTTTTAAAGTATTTATATAATCAAGGATATTGTATATATCCATATGTACATTCATCTAAATTACTTCTAATTGTACTAGTATTACAACAGCAAAATTACTTATCTACTGCAACTAAATTTACTCAATATCACCACAACATTAAAATAGCAAATTTTGACAGTGATGCCAATTATTTTTATTATTTTACTCGGAATATTTTTAAATAGCTTAAAATTAAAACTGCTCTTGGAAGTTATTTAAGCTAATACGATTTCAAAACGAACTTTTAAAATAATTTATTTGTTATTCTCGAACAAAAAATATATTATTATATGGTTATTAAAATTTATAATATATATATTATAATATTTTTTATTTTTATCAAGTGGATAATTGCCTTCGAACTTTTATTTCTGCTCTGTAAGCTCTGTGATCATGCAAGAGCAGGTAATAAAATTTAGTGTTCTTACTCTTGAATTCAAACAGAAGATTGTGATCGGGTTTTAATCGCGTCTAGTGGGAGAGTTAAGAGTGAGGTCGAACTCTACAGGGTGACGCGGTGGCGGCGCGTCACCTCTCCCCATTAGTGGGGAGCTAGACACAATCTCACTCGGCAATAACATCTATTACGAAATATACATGGTACCTATATTATTGGAAATGATGCTGAGTTAAGCAGATCCAAGTTTTAATAAATATCCTGGTCATAAAAAACAAAAAAGATGTTTGTTTGAACCGAGCGAGATTGAGAAAAAAGGTTTACAAAAACCTGTAGAATACTTCAAAAACGATAGGAACAGATTGGCGAGCGGCAAACGATGGCCAAAATATCACTAATTATGACCCCTGATCACCAAAAAAAATCTCGATAATCGGGATTTTACTCGTTTTTGTAAGCCTTAAAATATATTGGACCAACGTTTGTATTTTTTTTTTCCATTTATTACAGTCCATTGAATACATTAGTTGGGATTTATTTCATATTCATTATATCAAGATGGTGTACATTTATTGGTTTTATCTTTATCTATCCCATCTCGTTTAGCTAGCTCCACAGCTTTATTTCTAACGGTATTTCGTAGCGAGGCGAAACTTTTATAGCTTCAGATTTAAACGCCTCGAGTGAAGTTCTACTTGAATAATTTTATTTATTTTAAAATTACATAGTTCGTAGGTACTTTTCTAAATTTCTTGGTTCAATTCAATAATAAAGACCTTCCGCTGAAACATTCCGAATAAGACATTAATTATATTTCGAATGAAATGAATTTTGTTTCTCTTCAATTAAGTTCATTATGTGAATAGTATATTGCATTTAAGCTATAGCTCAAAAGTTCAATTACGATTCTCTCTTAATGTTTGCATTATCAAAGCTCGCATTTATATTTCGGGGACTTGTTTCACCGGGAGCTCTGCGTGTGACCGCAAACCTGCAGTAGACATTTGCGATACAGCGTGGCAAATTTCAACTAAGATGCGGTCATGTTTATACTGTGACATGCTTATTTACGAGTTTCTGCACCCTTCTTCACTGGCAAATTGGGGAACTAATTTACAAAAGAATTGGTCTACATTAAAATATGTATTTGATTACTATAAAAATTAAAAACAAAAATACATTAATTGAATATAATTATTCGTCTAAAATTGAAACGATTTCATCTTTCACGAGTACTTTTAATTTGTTATCTACATCGTTTCCGACGTATTAACGATTGTTTTCGCCGCAATGTACTGCTCATAAAACAACTTTATTAAGAATATTGGAGAGTAGTAATTAGCACAATTTTGTAATATCGACGAAAAACACCTCTGTCGCCCACGAAAACCACGACAACTATTAAAGTATTGGAAACATGGGAAATATTAAAATGAAAATAATACTAGTTTTTTTTTGCTTCGATG